TTATTTATTTATTTTTAAACAGAGGGGAAGGGAGGGAGAAAGAGGGGAAGTGAAACATCAATGTGTATGTGTGACTGCCTCTTGCACATCCTCTACCGAGGACCTGGCCCACAACCCAGGCGTGTGCCCTGACTGGGAATTGAACCAGCGACACTTTGGCCCATGGGCCCACACTCAATCCACTGAGCTACACCAGCTAGGGCATAAGCTGCCTTTTTTTTTTTAAGGTTTTATTTATTCATCTTAGGACAGAGTAGAAGAGAAGGCGAAAGAGAGGGAGAGAAACATCAGTGTGTGGTTGCCTCTCGAAGGCCCCGTGCTAGGGACCTGGCCTGCAACCCAGGCATGAGTCCTGACTGGTAATCTAACTGGCGACCTCTTGGTTCACAGTCTGAGCTCAATCCAGAGCTACAGCAGCCGGGGCTTCCTTTTTATTATTATTATTAAATATTTTATTGCCCTGGCTGGTGTAGCTCAGTGGATTGAGTGCAGGCCTGCAAACCAGACAATGGAGGTTCGATTCCCAGTCAGGGCACATGCCTGGGTTGCAGCCCCGTTCCCTGCAGGCCAGTTCCCAGCAGGAGCCACACGAAAAGGCAACCATACATTGATGTTTCTCTCCCTCTCTCCCTCCATTCCCCTCTAAAGATAAATAAATAAAATCTTAAAAAATATATTTTATTTATTTATCTTTAGAGGGGAAGGGAAGGACAGGAGAGAAATATCAATGTATAGTTACCTCTTGTGCATCCCCTGCTGGGAACTGGCCTGCAACCCAGGCATGTGCCCTGACTGCAAATCAAACTCTGATCGTCTGGTTCTCAGGCCCGCGCTCAGTCCGCTGAGCTATACCAGCCAGGGCTGCCTTTTTTTAAAAAAAATATTTTATTTATTTATTTTTAGAGAGGGAAACATCGATGTATGGTTGTCCCTTGCATACCCCCTACTGGGCACCTGGCCCACAACCCAGGCATGTGCCCTGACTCTGGTACTCGATGGCCCCTCACCTTCTGCCTGGTTCTCCTGAAGCTTCTCCTCCTCCATCCGGCCCTGTTTCTGTTGGTGGCACTGCTACCCACTTGGACCTCCAGGACAGAAAGCCTGGCGGCTCCACTGATGCAGGTTCTCGCAGGTCACAGTCCCGGTACCAAGTCTGAAAGCTTCTCCCTCCCCCAGATCTTGAGCTCTCTCTTCTTTTCCATCCCCACTGTTTCTATCCCATCTCAGAGCTTCATGGACTGATGATTTGTTTCTTTCTAAAATATATCCGAATACTTGTTGAAGAAATAACTTTTTATTACAAAAGCAAGAGATATTCATTGTAGAAAATTTAGAAAATGCAGGTTGACAAAAAGAAGAAAATGAAAACCACCTGCCATTTAACCATGAGAGAGAACACTGTGGACATCTGGGTAAACACACCCTGGTTTTGTTTTGTCGTTGTAGACACACAGCCGTTTTGTTTTTCTAAGTTCCATGACAAGGGGCCTCCAAGTTTATTTTCTTCATCGTCCTGGGTTTGGTCCCCACTGATAGAACCCCCAGGAACCACTGTGGCGGGGAGGACAGGCAGGCTGTCTCAGAGCCTGTGAGACAGTCTGGGACACCACCTGGGCCACCACCTGGGCCACCACCTGGGCTGAAGCTGAGCTTCCGGGTACGGGGATTCCCGGTGGCACTATTGATTACAGCTCCTCCCAGGGGGAGCTGCAAATTGCCTTCCCGGGCTTTAGTCTAGTTGTGGTTGGGTGGGGAAGGGAGTGATCTTGTGTAATAGGGTAAACCACTCCTCATTCAGAGCTGTTTGTTTAAGTGAGCAGGGATGGGTTTGGGAGAAACAATCCAGTTTTTGTCAGCGTTTACTGAACTGCTAGGACAAATAAGTTTTGGTGCAAACTCCTCAATATGGGGAAGGCAGGATGGGTTTCAAGGATAAGATGATGGGAGACCCAAAGATGAAATGCCTGGGAACAGCAGGCTGGGTGGGGGCTGTGGACAGGTTAGCACCTGCCCAGATCGAGAACCTGAATCTGGCACCTGCATTACTGCAGAAATGGGGGTTCTAGATCGCCAGTCCCCCCAGATTTCACAAGGAGCTAGAAATGGCTTTTTAAAACAAAGTTTCCTGACTCTAAATGTTGGTACTAAAAAGAAAGCACTGTCTGGGCCAAAGTGAGACTGACTGCAGGCTGCAGGGGCAGCCAGTCTTTACGTCTGCCTTGTACTTCACTTAGGTTACCCTGCCCTGCTTACTGGGCGTGGCTACCTCCCTCTCCCTGTGGCGCCACCCCTAGTAATATGGCCTGCTTACCTGCCCATGTCTTCAATCTGAGTTTAGGTCACTCCTTCCCCTGCTCAAATCCCCAAGTGCCCAACAATACGGCCTCCACCCACCAACCTCCTGGCTTGCCCTCTCAGGGCTTGAGCCAAACTGAGCAGCTTGCTTGTCCCCAAATGAAACTAGATCAATGATCCCCACTGCCCAGCTGCTGCTCGCCATGATTTTGTTTTGCCTGGAACAGCCACACCTACCAGGTCATCTTATTCTGTACCTCCTTTGTGAAGCTCCATGGTTTGACCAGCCTGTGCTTTCTTCTACAGTCATTTGCCAGGTCCCTCAAATCTACAAGCATGGGGAACGCTGAAATAAATAAGAACCCATCCCTGCCCTGAGGAGTCCCGCCCACATAAGGGCAGACATATACTAAACCAGCTGTGTACGCTCAGCAGAGCTGTGTATATGTGACGGAATGGAGGGCAGCGATGAATTCTGCCCGGAGAAACAGGGAAGGCTTTTTGAGCTGGATGACAGTGTAAATAGGAGCTTTCCAGGGATCTGAGGTAGAGGCAGCTGCCTGCGTAAAGAAATGGAGGCATGAAATTCTGAGAAGAGTTATTTGGGTATGGAAGGGCAGAGGACAGCTTGGGAAGTCAGAGATTAAGGAGCGATTTGGGAATTAAGTTGTTGTGTTACAGTATTTGCATCTCCTCTGCCTTTATTCCAGAATGTAACTCCAGGAGAACAGGGGCCGCGAGTCAATTTTCATTGCTTCACACCTGACACCTGCCTGGGACTGTGTACTCTGTTCAAAGCCTTGCAGCAACAAACGCAGCGCCCAGTAACGGTGAGCGCGCCCCCTAGTGGCCTCTGCGTGATCCCACTTCCAGCCGCTGTGGGTGACCCAGCAGGGCCCTCCCTCCATCCAAGCGGCTCTTACCGGGATTGGTGCTTTGCCAGGCATGGTCTCACTTCATCTTTCACCCTTCCCTGAAAGGAGGATGCCTCCTTCGGTCCAGATTTATTAAGCACTTGTTCTGTTTTGATCACTGTTCTAGGCATTGGGATACAGAATTTCATGAGGCATTAACCTCCTCAGACCTGGTAGTGCTTTTAGAGAACTGAAGATGATGGGAGTTGACTAATGCCTGGCAGTGGTGGAGGGACCCAGAGAGAGCAAGGATGGACGAACAGCTGGTAAATTGGGAAGCGAAAATGAAGTGTCCTGTTCTGTCCCATGCACCAGAGGGCTTCAGGTTTAATTCCCAGTCAGGGTACATGCCTAGGTTGCGGGTTCGGTCCCTGGTCAGGGCGCGTGGGTAGGCAACGAATCAGTGTTTCTCTCTCTCCCCCTCTGTCTCTAAAACCAATAAACATAAAATGCAGGGCCCCATGAAATGGGAAGAGCCAAAGCAAGCTAACAAGCCCAACCCCTTGCCATCTACTCAACGTTTAGCGATACATTACCATTTACTAAGATTATGGAGCACGGGGAGACCCGGACATGACTCAGAAGCCACCTGCGGCCCAGCAGAAAGACAGGTAAGTAAATGGAAAGGAAAAGGGGGTGCTCTGTGCTCAGGGTGCTGTTAGCGGCCACAGGGGTGAGAAGCAGGAATGCCACTCACTTGGGTGTGTGCGGGAGGGTCTCAGAAATAAGAACTTGAGTTTGGGCTAAAAAATGAGAAACAGGGAGGTGGTCCAGGCTGAGTACAACAGGCACAGAAAACAGACGTACGCAAGGTACCCATCGAAAGGAGGCCCATCCATCCTGGGGTGCTAGGACCCTCTGCTTCTAGGTGACCTAGGTGTTTGCCTTCTGGGTGTGTGCAGTTCTGTTAACTCATTGAGCTGTATACTTATGACTCATGCATATTCACCCAAGGTACGCTTCAGCTGTTTAAAACCAGCCCCCGACCTCTCACACTGCCATCTAATTTTCCTGTATAGCCCTCCAGACTAGACTCTGCAGCGCTAAGACTGTGAGAGCTTAGCCATCAGCCTCCTCACCTGTAGAATGGAAACAACAGTGCCCTCGTCACAGGGCTGTGCGCTGAGACAGCAACTAGAGACGGCGAAGCCCCTGCCTATATTGACAAGACCAAATTTCCGATGATTGTTCTAATGATTGGCAGTATCTAGCACATAGGAACTCAATTATTTGTTGACTAAATAAAAGAATGATTTTTTTTTTTTTGCACCAAGACGTGGCTCAAACAAAGAGAGGGGTGTGGGTGGAGTGGAGCACCTCAATCAAAGGCCCCTGGGTAGGAGTTCAGATTCTGGGGGCAGCTGCTCCTGGGAAGCCACAGCTCCTGTGGGTGGGAAGGGGACAGTGGTGACCTGGGCCAGATGGGACCCCTGTCCCTAGCCCCCACACCAAAGGGAGTGAAGATAAGAACCGAGGTTCAAGTCCGTGTGGCCACACTTCCTGTCCTCAACTACACACTGAAGTGAGGACTTGCCCCGGCTGCAGAGGAACACTACACAGCAGCACTGCAGCTTCCCCGCGCCCCTGCCCCCGCGCCCCCCCACCCCTCCCGCCTGGTGGTCAACCTTGGCACTTCTCTCCACCCTCAGGGGCTGGGGCAGTTTCGGGAAGGGTGGGAAAACCTGCTAAACAGGGTGGCCAAAGCCTGAACCGGTTGGACTGGGCGGTCACAGCTCCCCCCCCCCCACCAGCCGGGTCTCTCTCTTGGCCCACAGAGCAGAGGCAGAAGCCTCACAGGACAAACCATTTTATTACACTGTGGGTGGACTGGGGCCTGTGGGAAGTGGGGGCTGGTGCAGGTGTGGGGCCGGAGAGCCCTGGGAGTGCAGTGAGGATGGGGCAGCTCCGGCTCCATGTGCCAGGCCAGGCCGAGTGGGGTTCATCCTTGTGGGAAGGGGAAGAAGCAGCAGAGGCCAGAGAGCCACTTTCCATAGCTCTCATCCACCTCCACAGCATTAAATAAAAATAAGAACTCTGTACAGCACAAAATATATAGGGAGGTCCTTACCCCAGCTCTGGACTGTGCAGAGCAGGAGGGGTGGGGCCTCCAGCCTCTGACACTGCCCAGACCCCTTCCTGACACCACATCACAGTGTGGGGCGGACAGCTTTGAACAGGAAACAAAACTCCAACTTCCTCTTAAATCCTAGGCAAGGCAGGTCCATCTACATGTAGAACTCCTGGCTCAAAGTTTCTCTGCTCCCCTCAGACACGAGTTTTCTCAGGAATGAGTGGCCTGAGCTCAGCTGAGACGTCTCTGAGAGGGACTAGAGCCCTGGTCTCTGAGGCAGAGAGGCCTGGGAAGTAGGCAGGAGGGGTCTGGTCCCAAAGTCTTTCCCAGTCTAGGCCTCCTTGGTAAGGAGGAAGCAGGGCCAGAGGAGGGCTGGCGAGAGCCCGCGAGAGCCCTAGGCCAAAGGGCCGAGGCAGCCCCAGGCTCACAAGGGTCGGGTGGTGTGGTTATAGACCAGGTGTTCTGTGTCCTCGGTGGTGGAGACCGTGGAGCTGGCAGGGGTCGGGGGTGGGGGGTGGCCATGGTGGTATCTGTGGACACTCTTTTTCTGGTTCTTAAAGAAGCAGTACCCCAGGATGGCTACCACCACCACAATGCAGGTGACCAGGAGCACGGCAATGGTCATCTCCACGGAGCCTGGGGGAAGACAGGGTAGAATGAAGAGCTCCTGGGACGTGCTCAGTTGTTACCCACCCCCAACTCTGTATCAGAAACACCGAGTCAAATGGATGCCTGGTGTGGAAGGACCAGCAGCACACGAGCAGCCGAACTGCTCTCTATCTATTGGGAGCTCAGTGAGAGATTCTGCTGGGCCGCAGGTCTCAGCTCCAGGTTGCTCCACACCCAGTTAGCTTGGAGAAAGGCCTGGGACGATGGCAAATGTTTAGCACGCACTCTGCTGGGCTTCCCTTCCCTCTACGGCAGGTATCGCTACTGCTTGTGACTCTGCCCTCTAGCCAGCCCCCGAATCCTTCTGAACACAGAGCTGGGGAGCCACAACCAGTTGCGTGGAGTTGATCCTTTAGCTGATACTACTCGTTGGCAACAGGGCAGTCCGGGGCTTACCTGCGTTGGGAATGGGGCTTTCCCGCCGCAGACCAAACACATCCTTCTCTACAAAGTGATGGGGGAAGACAAGTCAGTGTTAAGTGCTGACACTCAGCTCCTTCCAGTGCCCCAGGCCCCCCACTGCCATCCTCTCCCACGGCCATTTCAAGCACTCAGAGGACTCAGTGTGACCAGCCCAGGCTTTGGGACAGAGCACAGTGCTCTAGCTACGCCTTTCCCCTCCCCATCTTCCACCCGCTCCAACACCCTGCTCACTGGAGATGCCATGACAGGACTCGAGACACTGATGCTCCTCTTCAAAGTTGTTCTTGTTGCCATAGCAACCACCATAGGTAAAGCGGGCGCAGTGCTCAGTGAAGGGGTTGTAGTACCAGCGAGGGATGCTATCCTTGCAGACACCCGTGTCTGGCAGGTCCACGCAGTGCCCTGGGGGGTGAAGTGCAAGCAAAGGGGTGAGAAAGCCCACGGGGCCTTCCTGCTACTGTCTGCCAGGCCCCCCGTGGTCGCTGCCCACCACCTCCCGACCCGCGTCCTACTGAGGAAGCCTGTGGTTCAGTGCGGGCCTCGGGGGGCCCCAGGAATATCTGGCCCATCTGCAGTGTTGCCGGAAGCAATAAAGACAAATCCTGAGCAATGTTCTTAGACACAGAAGTAAACCACCCTGACTCACATAACTATTTCTTTTTCAAACGTCTCTCAGCTTTTCTGACTATGTCAAAGTCTCGGTTTTCTCTCCTGCAGTAGATGATCTATCTTTTAACAAGAGAATGCCCTGGCTGGTGTGGCTCAGTGGATTTGGGTGCTGGCCTGCGAACCAAAAGGTCGTTGGTTCAACTCCCCATCAGGGTACATGCCTGGGTTGCAGGCCAGGTCCCCTGCAGTTGGGGGTGTGCAAGAGGCAACTGATGACTGATGTTATCTCTCGCACATTGATCTCTCTCTCTCCCTCCCTTCCCCTCCCTCTAAAAGTAAATAAATAAAATCTTAACAACAACAACAACAAGAAGAGCAGCTCAGGGTTTAAGCCTTGGCAGGCACCTACGTCCAGCTAAAATTTATTATTGTTTTATTATATATGTTTTAATAGTCAATCTCAAGTTGTGGCATGTAATAGTGAATTTCCATTCATAGTAGTGATATGAAATTTCCTTTTTGATACATTAAATTAAAACAGTAATCAATAAAACAATATTCAGTCAACGCCACCTCAGTGATCCGTGGACAGGGCTAAATTTCTGAAGGTATTAAGAGGCTGACTCTGCTTGGGAAGCAGAGCCCCAGGAGGGAACTGGGAGCCCACTCTGGCTCTTTCTGCCCAGGGCCTGGCACACAGAGAGCACAGAGAGGATGGCAGTGCCAGTGCCCGCCCTCGCCCGGAGGGCCTGGGGGGAATCTCACCTTTGTCACGGGGGAAGTGGAAGTTCTGGAGCTCCTCGAAGCCTCTGGTGTCTGCGAAGATGACAGGTCAGAGGCACGGGCCCAACGACAGTCTCCCAGGGGTGCAGGGCGGACGGTCGGGACCGCCCCCTCTGTTGCCCACCACCCCTGAACCCCTGGGCCTCACATTTTTCACAGGTGGCCTCGTCGGAGGCGTCAGGGCAGTCGGGAGTGCCGTCGCACTCCAAAAAGCTGTCAATGCAGCAGCCGTCGCTGCAGCGGAACTCGGTGGAGTGACAGGTACCGGAGCACACTGGATGGGGGTGGGATGGGGAGGGGGAAGGTCATGCTCCAGCAGAGGCCAGCAAGTACCAGGGGTTCCTTGTCTACCTGGCCCTCTCTACCCCAGCACGGAATCCTGAGGTGTCCCCTCTCCCCACCTGTCCCGCCTGAACCCTTCTGCACACACGCCGGGCAGGTCCTGACAGGAGGACCCCAGGCTGCACGGGGTGGGGAGCTTATGGTCCCTCTGCATACTATGAGGGCAGGAATGGGTTGGGCAGAAGCAGCCTGGTCAAGGGCACGGATGTGATATGGGCTGGAGATGTGGTAGGGGTGAGGGGACCAGGAAACGGAGCAAAGCCCACCTGTATGATGCCTTTCCTTGGAGGGGCCTAGGAAAGAGAAAACAGAAGTGAGAGGAGACAGAGCCAGCCCAGCAGGGTGAGCCGATGGGGGGAAGGGGCCCTGGGAGCTGGGAGCTCTCAGGCCCACCTCCCTGACTGGCGAAGGGAAACCACCCGCCCTGGGGGAAAGTTCACCTGAACCTGCAAAGGCCCACCTTTCACATTGAAGCAAGCTAGCTTGCACTCTTCCTCCCAAAGGTAATTGTTCTTGTTGCCTGAGCAACCTCCATAGACAAAACTCTTGCAGATCTGTTCTTTGGGGTCGTAGTACCAGCGGGGAAAGGAACCACGGCAGCGGCCCACCTTTTTGGTTACCAGGCAGTAATCTGTGGGGAGGGAAGCTTGTAAGGTGGGCTGCGGGGCCAGTGACAGAGGGGCGTGGCTCCGCATGCTTTCTCCCCACTCCCCTCACCTTCCGTCTGCTTGGCGGAGAGAACGCTGACTGTGATGTTGGCCGTGTTCTCTGGCTGGTTTGGGCTGGCCAGTGTCAGCTGGAACAGGTAGGTGCCTTCCTTGAGTCCCCATAGCTCCACCTGGTCCGAATCATTCCTCTGTACATAGAAGAGGGTATTAGGCTGGGATTCCCTGATGCCCGCTGAGCTAGCCTAGGCCCTCCCAGCCACACAGCCCCCCCAGGGAGAACAGAGCCGAGGGGGAGTCAGGGAGCCGGACCAGTGTCTCACCTCTACCCTGACATCCGGGTCACCCTGCAGTAGGTGCCAATCTGTGTTCTCCATACCCTTCAGCACCAGGGGTTCCTGGGGCTGTACCTTCAAGTCTATGCCTTTCCAGAGCATGGGGGTCCGGGACCCTGGGGGGACGGAGAGGTAAGGTCAACTCCTGCTGAATGGACCAGATGTCTCTGGGGGGGCAGGGAGCTAACATGGGCCACACCTAGACAAACCTAGAACTTGGCAGCCAGCATGGGGCATAGGTGGGAACCCACAACTAAATCATCTTCTTGCTCTCTGTTTATATATATTATTATGTCTTTGGTATACTAAAGACCTTTTTAAGTTGTAAGACTCACTTTCTGAAACAAATTCCTATACAGCCTGTGCCATCTGATCTGATTTAGGCAGAAAGTATATCTATTTTAGGGGGAAGCTTATTCCTCTCTTCTACAATCAGTAGGTATTGTGCTAACTGCTTTAAAAAAATTAAATATTTTTGAAAAGCCAAATAGTAAATACGGAATTAACACCCATCGCCCCTCTCTCTGCTGCCCAACTGCTGCTGACAGACACCTAAGCACAGAGTCCCCAGGCAGCAACGTGGCAAGTCTTGGTGTCCCCAGGTGACTGGCCACAGGAAGAGGGTGCCTCTGCCACCTCAGACAGACTCTGCCCGCAGTCATGAGAGGGCCTGAGGGAACACGCCCTCCCTCAACCTGTAGTGCCTGAGCCCGAGGCTTCCCTGGTCTCCGGTTAGGGGCTGGAGAGAGAAACAAGCACACAGCCGGATCCCTGCCCGTACTGGGTTGAATGGTGGTCCCCCAAAACCTAAGTCCATGTCTAAGCCGCAGATCTCGTGCATGTGAACATATTTGGAAAAAGGGTCTTTGTGGGAGTCATCAAGTTAAGCGTTTCCACACGAGATCATCCTGGATCAGCTAAATGCAATGACAAATGTCTTTATAAATAAAGACAGAAGAGAAGAACAGAGTGGAGGGGGAAAAGGCTCTGTGAAGACAGAGGCAGACACTGGAGATAGGCAGCCGCACGCCGAGAAGCCCTGGAGCCACCAGGAACTGGAAGGTGCAGACTGACCTCCTCTAGGGCTGTCAGAGCGAGCTCGGCCTTGCCGACACCTCGATTTCGGACTTCCGGCCTCCACAACCGTGAGACCATAAATTTCTGTTGTTTTAGCCACTCAGTTTGTAGAAATCTGCTGCAGTGGCCAGAGGAAACTAGTATTGCCCGTGAGGGGACCACAGTCCAGTTAGGCAGATAAGACCCAACAACCGGAAGCAACACGGGAGAAAAACCCCAACCAGTGAAGTGACAGGTGGCAGGTGTGCAGCACAGGAAGCGGATGGGCATCCACAGACTCGAGAGCCTCTGAAAGACTGGAAGAGTAAGGGAAGATTCTTCTGGAGAAGGGAGAAATTATTTCTTTATTCTTTTATTTTTGTTTTTGTTTGTTCGATCGTGGGAAAGAATGTGCTGTGCTGTTGATGACAACAGAAAATGTGAGGGTCCAAAGCAAAGAGCTGGGGGTTTTCAAGGCTGATTTGGTGAAGTTAAGGAGAGCAGCTGGCCTGGACAGACCTCAAAGTGCCCTGAATGCTGGGCCAGGGCATGTAGACACAGCAGGAGTGACATCCAAATGTTTAACAACTGGTGGTACAGGAAGGGCAGACTGGCCGTGAGAAGTGGTGCCGAGTCCTAGAAGCCCTGACTGCAGCAGACACTGACCTTCTAGCTGCAGGATCAGAGTCCAGGAGCGCTAAGGTAGGGGCCAAGGGCCTGGGTAGCAGGGTCACTCCTGAGCTCCAGGCAATAGCTGTTTACTCTCTGTTTGGAATGATCTCTACGGAACAAGGAGCGAGGAGAGCGGACCGGTGTGGTGGGTCAGGTCAGGTGCAGTGGAAATGCTCTGAACTAAGGGGCGGCCAAGGGGATGGAAAGGAGGACGTTAGCAACCGTGCTGAGCAGACGCTGCGGGCCTGACAGGCGCTGGCAACTGGGGAGGAGGCAGGGAGCAGGCAAAGGGAAACCAGATCTAGAGGGAATGTGTGGGTTCAGTCACAGAGGAGGTAAACTTGAGGGAGGCAACACCATCCAGAGGGGAGGTCTCCAGTGGGAGCTCCAGAGAGGCCAGGGCTGGAAACACATCTGGAGTCCTAGTTGGGTTTTTTTTTAGATTTTATTTCCTTATTTTTAGAGAGGGGAAAAGGGAGAAAGGAACATCGATGTGTGGGAGAGACACTGACCAGCCAATTCAGTTACCCTTCATAAGCCCCCCAACTAGGGACCTGGCTCACAACCCAGGCATGTGCCTTGACCGGGAATAGAACCAGTGACCTTTCAGTTCTCAATCCACTGAGCCACACCAGCCAGGGCAAGAGCCATAATGATGAACAAAGTTGCCACTTGTTAGATGTATACTGGGCACCGTGCTGTGTACTCACCCTGGCATGGGCACCATGGGTAGGCAAACGAGGCCCACAGTCCAAATCCAGCCCACCATGTAGTATATTTTCAAATGGTTGAAAAAATCAAAAGAATACTATTTTGTGACAGATGAAAAGTCCAAACCAACCTCTCCTTTTCAGTTCCATATTATGGATGGCTGCTGTCACCCTACAACAGCAGGACTGAATAGTTGCAACAGAGCCTGAAATATTTACTGTTTGAAACTTTACAGAAAGCTTGCTCACGCCTGACCTCCACTGCCCATCTTCCTCAACACCCTGCCACAACTGCGTTCCCATCGCTCCTTCCAGGGGAGGGAACTGGCACCGGAGAGGTTCAATGCCTTGCCCAGGGCCCCCGAGTTTCTATACGGCAGAGCTGGGGTTTGAATCCTACTCGGACTCCATAGCTCATTTTCTCTCCAAAATACCATGCTGCAGGCCACCCTCCTGCTTAGAGGTGTAATTTTGGCTACTTTTACAATCTTGGGATGTTTTGTATTTTTCTTTAAAGACTCATTTATTTTTGGAGAGAGGGGAAGGAGGGAGAGAAGCATCAATGTGTGGTTGCCTCTCATGTGCCCCCTGCTGGGGACCTGGCCCACAACCCAGGCAGGGGCCCTGACTGGGAATCCAACCGGCAACCCGGCAACCCGTTGGTTTGCAGGCCAGCACTCAATCCACTGAGCCACACCACCCAGGACTTGGATTTTTTATTTTTAATTTAGGTAACAGATGTACATGATGTAAAATTCAAAAAGTACAAAAGGGTGGTGAGAATTATGTTCCCTCTTCTCCTTAAACCCCCGTTCCTCTTTCCAGAGACATCTATTCTTAGTAGTTTGTGTGTGTGTGTGTGTGTGTGTGTGAGAACAGAGACAGTATTGGATTCACAAGCAAACAAGTTCCTCTTGTTTTTCTCATATCTTGAGAATAATTCCATAGCAATGTAAAGAGTTTCATTTCTTTTTCTTTTTTGGTTGCATATTACTCACTGTATAAATACATCATAATATGCAACTTATTTAACCAGTCCACTAGTCTCTCAATTTAGTTTTCCCTTGCTTCCTCCCTCCTTCTCTTCCTTCCTTCTTTTCTAACAACGAAACTGTGCTGCCTCGGGGGTTTTTATTATTATTGTTAAAGTATAAGCACAGTAGCCCTGGCTGGTGTAGCTCAGTGGATTGAGCACAGGCCTGTGAAGCAAAGGGTTGCCGGTTCGATTCCCAGTCAGGGCACATGCCTGGGTTGCTGGCCAGGTCCCTAGTAGGGGACATATGAGAGGCAACCACACACTGATGTTTCTTTCCCACTCTTTCTCCTTCCCATCCCTTGTCTCTAAAAATAAAAAAATTAAATATTTCAAAAAACAAAACAAAATAAAATATAAGCACAGTATCCGGTTATAGGATGTGCGGGCAGACACCACGATCTTTCCCATTCTTTGCTGGTACAAACAGTGCCACAGCGGACAAGTGGCTGGCACACTGTCCTACACATGGGTGAGTAGAGCCGCCTCGCAAACTCCTCCAGGCGGAACTGAGTTGTAGTAATATGCATTTAGTTTTGATGGACACTGCCCTCCACAGGGGCTCTGCAGAGCAGATGTCCGATGAGCAAGAGTTCAAAGGAAGAAAAGAAGGCAAAGAAATCACAACAGCTGGCTGGCGCTGAGTCACAGGATTCCTCCTTGATAAGGCGGAGAAAGCGGATACGGCAGGGACTCTCAGAGGTGGTCCCAGACAGGTGAGAAGGCCAGGACACACAGTGACAGCAAAGCGCTGGGCGTGGAGCGCTTATGTAGAGAAACATGTCAGACTGGGCAGAGGTCTGCAAGAACGAGAAAAGGGACTCTGGTTTCCAGGGGCCAGGGGGAAATAAAATGGAGAGCAGGTAAGAAAACTGTTTGCCTGGAACCACCCCTCAGTCCCGTAGCTTAGCTGGAGATCAGGTGAGGCCAAGAGAGACCGGCCCTGAGGTAACCTCTGCAACTCAAAGCAAAAGGGGCAGTGAGCTGCGAAGAGTCCATTCCACTCCCTGCATTTCACAGAATGTGATCGGCTGTGTGAAAGGGGAAAGAAGATGGACTACTGGGCAGTATACCGAACAGGCAGACAGGCTAGCCCGACGGGCACCCAAGGTGGAAGTGGCAGACTTTGTGCCAAATTAACAATCCCACCCCCACACAACTGGTAGACCCTGGTCATCTCCAAGTCCCAGTGTTCAGGAGGCAAGAGGCAGATGACCTGTTCAACCACTCCCTTCTTCCCACCCCAAGAGAGCAAAGGGCCAGGGTGGTAATAAATCCAGCCCCTCCCCCAGCTGCCAGGCCCCAGGACATCTGCAGGCAAACACAGACTCCACCTCCGAAGCCACTCCTCCAACGGAAAGGGGGAGAAGGTAGGAAAAGAGGAAGGAGCAAGGTACTCGGAGGCCACAGGAATCCGGACTGAACTGGCCTGGCTACACGCAGAAAGGAGAACAAACAAACCCACCCTGGGAGGGATTTCTCTACCTAATACAAGAATCAAAGGTTTAGAAGCCGCAAGCACCTGCCCACCCTGCCTGACATACAGGCTTTATCCTGCTCTCACCCCGCTCCAGCCTCTCTAGGGGACTCAACTGAGAACGGATCCCTTCACACCACACAGCTTCTCCCACTCCCCAAGGCATGCAGCACAATGAAAATGGCCTGGAGTTCACACTCAGTCCACGCCCTATCCAGCTTCCTAAGTGCCCAGGAAATCCCCACTCCATCCTGTCTTGTGCTCAACAGGCCAGTCTGGTGGGCGGGAAGGTTTTCAATGAGGAAAGCTGGTTCTAAGACCTTGTGGCTCATCCAGCTCAGCTCCCTGACCAGACCCCAGAGTTTCAGGCACTGGCCAGGAGTGGGACTCAAGTCAATTAGAGTCATCACCACCTACACTGTCTGCTACTTCCTGTGGAACAGGCTCGGGCCCTGGCCCAGTGGGATCTGGTGGCCCAGCCTGGCCCAGAGATGGTGCTCCCTCCTGGAATTCCCATCCTAGTCCCCCAGGAGAGCTCATCGAAGGAATAGGGAGAAGCGAGGGTCCCTAACCCAGGAGAGAGGCTAGTCCAGAAAAGAGCTGGAGAGGACAGTCCCTTCTCCACTCTCCAGAAATGTGACCACCCCTGGACTCAGCCCCAACCCAGTCCTGACCCTGGGCTTCCTAGTCTCTGGCTCAGAGACAGGTTTCTTCCAGAAGGGTGGTCTTGTGTAAAAAGCAGCACAGGACATTTGGAGGTCCTGCCTAGGGTTGAGTCCCAGGTCTACCATGTATGCAACATGAGAGTCAGTTTCCTAATCTGAAAAGTGGGACTACTAATAGCAAGCACCCTTGTCAGAGCTGGTTATCATGAGGCCTCCGTGAGAGGCGGAATGGCACTGCAATCAGAAGAGCTAACCGAGGTTATCAGTCGCAACCCTTCCCTGCCCTGGAGCCCCGCCTGGCCACAAAAGCAGGTGGAGGAAGTGCGGAGTGAAGGCTTCAGGAGGAGCCCTGATCCCAGCTAGTTGCTCAGTCCCAGGAGAAAAGAGGAGGAGCCCTGACCCCCACTTTGCCCTTATCCACGGAAGTAAACAAAGTGAGCAGAGAGCTTGGTTACCAGATCCTAAGCAGGGAGAAAGCTCTGCCTGGCTCACACGCACACACCTGCCCGGACACACCTGACATCCCTCCCCTACCAGGTATACATACTGGTGAACTGACTCACCCAGCAGTCCTTCGCACCCCCACCCCAGAGCCTCTGGCTACTGTGCCCACAACAGCATCCCCTCCCCTTTTGGGTCAACCCGAGACTGGTCTTGTTCTTTAGTCTCTGGGGTCTGGTGGCTTTCCCCCACCACAGAAGGCCAAGAGGTGGGGGAGGGGTGCACAGACGCTAACCAGTCCCAAGTCCATCAGTAGGGGAGGAGACACTCCACCAGGCTCATTTGACAGGGCCTCAAGGTGCCTCAAACCAAGCTCGGCTAGGGCGGGTGGCTGGCCCAGAGGGTACCTGCTCCTCGCCAGGCAGCCTCCAGACAGCTCACTCCCTGACTCAGCATTTCAGGGCCAGAAGTCCAGGGAAGGTGCCTCCTCCACCACCCACACACATCCCAGGGCACCAACCCACTCAACGGCACCCTGAATTCAGGAGCAAGTCTGGCCTTTAGGATGTTACTCCGCCTCACTCCCCCAGACTGCCAATTGTTTACGGTTCACACCGCCTACTTCTCCGGAGGAGTTGGGGTGGGGTGGGGGTCAAGACCCCCCACTCTACTCCTAGAGTCTGCTGAAGCTCGACTCTCAGGATTCCATAACGCGCCCTTTTCTGAGTCTCCCCAAACCCATCCATCCCCACACCACCGTCTTACCTCCAAAGCCCTGGGTCCGCAGCTCGCGGTAGGAGCGGTAAACCTCCCTGGTGAGGTAGTTGACAAAGCCCTCCCTAGGCGCAAACTTGCACACAAAGTTCTGCCCGTAGAGGCAGTTGATGAGGAAGCAGGCGGCTATGGCGTCCTCCCCGCCGGCGGGCTGCCGCTCCACCAGCGCCAAGTTGCAGTTCTGGGTGGTGCAGCAGGCGCGCACGCAGTCCCGGCCGCGGCGCACGGCGGGGGAGCCCAGAAAGGTGGCCCCGTTGCTGACCGAGGCTTCGGTGTCAAGTACAAAAGCGGGCACCCCGGGGGTAAAGCGGCCCAAGCAGGAGGCTCCTTCTGGCTGCGCGGGGGGCGTGGGCGGCGGCCCGGCGGCGGTGCCCGGGAGGCCGAGAGCACACAGGAGCCACACGGCGACCGCTGGGATGCGGGCCTGGGAGAGGGGGACGCCAGCCATCGTCCGCCCAGAGGCCGTCGCCCTCCAGCCCACGGGGGTCACCTTCACAGTGCTGGGCTCTGGGCTCCGAGGGTGCTTGCGACCTGGGAGCGGGGAGGAGGCAGAGCAGGAGGCGCACGGGATCAGCGGGGAAACCGGATCGGCCGGGGAGACTTCGAGGGGGGCGGGCCGGCGCAGAGGAAGCGAAGGGGAGGGCTGGGGAGCAGGGGCGCCCCGGGAGCCCAGGCCGCCAGACCCACGGCCCGAGGGACTGCTAAGGAGGTCACGTACCCGGACACTCGGACTAGCGCGGAACAAAGAGCCAAACATACTCCGAGTCCGCTCCGCCTCCGGCCCGGGTTACCTGCGCAGGTGAGTGGGGTGGGGCCCGCGCTGTTGAGGTTCCGGTCCCGGCTTCCTGCGCGGCCCCAGTGGCCGTTTCCGCTCAGGTGCGGGGTGCACTGCCGGTCGGCCACCTCCACCCCCTAGTTTCTGGCGAAACTGAGTCACCGCGGCCGGGCGGGGCGGTCGTTAACCCCAGCGCGCCCGCCCGGCCCACGCCCATGGCGCTTGGGTCGGCGCTTCCCGGCCCCGCCGTCGGAGCAGCTGCCCCGCGGCCCGGGATCCCCGCCGCCTCCCCCGCGGCCGGGGACGCCCTGCCCCTGCCCCGGGCCGCGCCCCTGGAGGCCGCTGCTCTGCGCGACTCCACCGAGTCCAGCTCGCGGGGGAGCCCGCGCCCCAGCACAGCACCCCCGGGCTCCTGACCCCCCGGACGCGCCAGGACGCGCCGGGGAGGACGACGGGCGCTTCGGGAGGGGGCGCCCTGGGGAGGCTGCTTCCGGGCTCCCTTTGGGGTGCGGCCTAGTCCCAGGCTAGCGGTGGGGAAATGGGGAAAGCCGACGCAAAGGGCTTTGCCGTCGTTCTCAGCCCCCGAGAAGTAGTTTACATCTGGTGGCGTAAGAGGTCCCGGAAGCTGTGCGGCTGCACCTGTGATAACCGGGTGCCTGCGCCCGCATCGCCGCCCGGGAAGCCCTCCTCCTGCCGCCGTGAGACGCGGGCTTCATCCCTTTCGCTGCCAGGCCTCTGCTGGTCCGCAGTGGTGTCCACCCCCTTTCTCGACTCGTACTAACGTTTACTCGTTTGTGTCCTTTGTAGTTTGTGTCGGGGCCGAGTCCCTCTCAGCGCTCAAGGGTCTGCTGCTCCCTCCTCGGGCCACAGGTTCCTTCTCGTATACCACCAAGAAGGTCTGGAGCTGGCCACTTTCTTCCAGTAAAACGCTGTCCTTGGAAGTAGAGGTTCCAGCTCACCAAAGCAGCGGAGTAACTTTACAGAACCGTGGATTCTTTGAAGCAGTACTCATTGCTTTCTCTGAGTGGAGAATCCCTCTTAAAAACCATTCCTCTGGCTGGTGTAGCTCAGTGGACTGAGCGCGGGCCTGCGAACCAGACAATCGCTGTTCGATTCCCAGTCAGGGCACATGCCTGGGTTGCAGGCCGGTTCCCTGCAGGCCAGTTCCCAGCAGGGGACGCAAAAAAAAGGCAACCATACATTGATGTTTCTCTCCCTCTCTCCTTCCCTTCTCCTCTAAAGATAAACAAGTAAAATCTTAAAAAAAAAAAAAAAAACATTCCTTACAGAGCAAGATTGATCCTATTAATGATCTCCCCAAAAAAGAGATGCCACCCATTTTCATGCCACTTAACACTCACCCCCACCCCTAACATGGGAACATTCTTCCTAATTTCTCTGGAACAGCTTTACCTGCTAGGTCTGGTAGCCAACCATTTGGTCATTTTTCTGGCTGAACTGCGACATCTCCCAGCTGCCCACATAAGGGTGAGAATCTGGGGTCTGTCTCCCTTTCTCTGGAGTTTCTGAGTTTTTCCCGCAGCCCCTGGCACAGCGGTGAACATAGGGTAATCAGTGATGATATGCTGGCAGTGAAGTAAATGATCGTGCAGTTACTGGGAAGAAAGGGTTTGCGGTTTGATTCCTGTCTCCCCCCATACATTATACATGAGATTCCTAACACAGGAGACTGTTTCCTTGTGGTACTATTACATCACTGCAATTTATATCACATCCATTATACACACCTTTACCAAAACACCTCCTTTTATCAGGCCCAATTGACAGTGTTTCTCAGCACTTCCCACATATTGCCCCATACACTCAAACCAAGAAAGTAGGTACTATTTTTCTCTCTGTTTTACAGATGAACAGACAGGTCAGACAGATGAACTAACTTGTCCAGTCCCATGGCAGTTTGGTGGCAGAGTGGGGACCAGTGTCCTGGCAGGCCAATTCCATTGCTTCAAGAGGGCTTTTCCACACTTGAAAGTCTGAGTTCAGGGGGAAGTTCCACCTCAAATTCAACCTAACTGAAAAAAACTTTTCTTCCAGTGGCGAGCAGCCGCCACTCGTTGAGAGCATGCCTAACTGCTGGTGTGCAGACAGCTCTGAGAACAGTTTGCACTGCGCCGAGAAGTTTACTAGCTCTTTCAAGTTCACATATGAAGAGTGGGAGACAAGCCTGTATCCGGGCTGAGCCTGTGGGCTTCACACTCAGACTACGGGGTTTAATTCTCTTTTCTGCCACTTACGATCCGTGTGCCTGCCTCCTTGTTTACAAAGTAGGACTTGGTGAGGATTAAATGAATTCATACAGAGGAAACATGTGACACCATGAGTGCTCAATAAGTGTTACCTGAAAAAGTGACAAGGCCATAATTTCATCCCATCTCTCTGACGTTAAGGACCGTACTTCTAGGCCCGGCTGGCTAGCCCGGTGCACTGCAGCACACCCCCGTGCGCCAAGGTGCCGAGCGCCGAGCGCCGTCCCCGTCAGGCACGTGCAGGAAACAATCAGTGAGTGTGTAAGCGAGTGCAGCAAAAAAGCGACGTTTCTCTCTCTCTCTCCTTCTCAAATGAATGACTAAAAAAACAAACTAAGGAAAAAACTACATTTTCCCCATTCCCCTAAGCTGTTTCCAACACACTGAAAAGAAAAAAATTGCACATGAGGGGAAAAAAGTCTAACAAAGAAGTGGAGGTGATGGTATTTGATGGTGGGAATATGGGCTAAGATTTTCTTCTTTTTAGTCTCTAAATGAGTTTCCAAGTGCCCCTTAGCGAACACGGACTGCTTCCACGATGAAGAGAGAAATAATACATCATGACAACGTCCACATTTCTCACATTTAATCCTAAGCTGCTCTTCTCTCTCCCTGTTTTCTCCTGGCCTCATTGTCCCAGGGACGTTGGAGCCATCTGTGCCCCCTGCCTTTCCTTGGGCTTCCTTCCTGCCAGGCCTGGGTCCTGGCAGTCTTCCCTGGTAATGGCTCACATCTCTCCCTCCTTGTCTACTGCCACTGCTGCCCTTGCTCTGGGCTCTGCACCCGCCTCCAGACAGACCCCCAGCCACCCTGCACACTGCATCAGATTCCCTCTTCCGCCCCTGTCTCCATCCGCCCTTCACCTGTTCAGACGCTCAGTGGCCCCCAAGAGCCTCCTTAGCAGTGTGTACAGCTGTTGCCTGGATGGATTCATGAAGCTGTTTGTGGAGCAGCAGAGAGGGGTTGAGCTGTGGGGGCCTTAGTTAAAGGCCTTCCCCTTGCATACAGGGAACAGAAGCCCCGTGATTTGCCCTCTGTATGTGCAGAGACATACAATTAGTATGTGACAGAGGCCAGCCCAGATTTAAGGTCTCTTGACTGCCAGTGTTGGGCCCCTATTAGGATTCTGACCTGCCTGCCTTTCTACAAGGAATTTCCATTGAAGAAAGTCCTCAGATCAAAGGACTTGCTCTCCTGGCACTCTGGCCACCTGGCCTCAGGCCTCCTGGGTGCTTGCCACCCCAGGCTTCAGCCACCGTCACTTCTGCCACCCTGCTTTGCCCTGAGCCTATGCCTTTCCCTCCCCTGCCTTAGCTAGGCTCCTGCTCCTCTCTGGGAACAGGTCACTAATAAACCCTGACTGCATGCTAATCGATTTCCTGGTCTGTCATTCTTTATACGCATCTGCAAGAACCAGGTCTCTCCCATCAACAGTATCCCTGGTACCAAGCATTAGTCTTAGGAGGGGGTGGTTTGGTGAGAATATTCAGGCCTTAACACCAAGACTAGGTGAGGACCGCGGAGTGTGTTGTCTCAGATGGTGCAGTGGTAGATGGTCTGTGAAGACAGACCCGCAAAGATGGTAGACCAGACCTCGCCTTCCTGTGCTCTTCCCACCAAGAGGGAGTGTCTATCCTTTCCTTCCCTTTGACTCTGTAACTTGCTTTGACCAATAGGACATAGCAGAGGTGGTACCACCTGACTTGCAGGTCTCAGCCTCGTGGCTTCCATTTTTCCTCTTAGAACCAATTGTGATGTAAAGAAGTTTGACCCCGTAGGAGAGAGGTCACCCAAAGAAGGCAAAAGAGACTCTGGGGTCCAGCTACCGCACAGCCAACCCCGCTGAGGAGTGGCACTAAGCGTTCTCAGCCCTAATCCCGTCGCCCCAGCAGAGATCGGCTGCATCTGCCAAGCCCTGACCAAGTGGCAGATTCATGGACACATAATGGCTGTGTATGTCTTAGCCTTTAAACTTTGGGGTGGTTTGTTATGTGGCAATAATAACTGAAAGAGAAGGGTAACATATTTGTAGAATACAGTTTAGTTTCTATAGTCTAAGTAAAAGCCCACTAATTGCCTTGATAAGGCAGAACAAAGGATTTTTTATGAAGAATTTTGGGGAAATCATGCAATATTTTTCAAGGTAAGGCTGTTGTCACTGGATTAATCTTTATTTAAAGAAGATGCTTCCTCTCAGACACTGCTGCAGCCCTAAAGGGGCATTTTTAAAGATTCTTTTAGTCATAGAAGATGATAAATTAAGTAGAACATTTTTTTAGAGAGAGGGGGAGGGGGGAAGAAAGAGAGGGAGAGAAACATCTGTCAGATGCTGCCCCCAGCCGGGGACCCAGCCTGCAACTCAGGCATGTGCCCTGACAGAGGATCATGCCGGCGACCTTTGGTTTGCAGTCCAGCACTCAGTCCACTGAGCAACACCAGCCAGGGCAGAGGAGAAACTTTCATTTTCATTTGTTTGTCCTTCTGAGATGGTCATTAAGAAATTAGTGTTCTATAACTTTTCTAAAAACGTTCAGAAATTTTTCTTACAAAGGACTATACAAACGAAAACACCCTTCATTTGGAATGCAAGGGTGTCTAGAAGCAGTAGTCCCCTGACACCTGGTAAAAGTTTGCAGGTTTTCTCTGTGTCAGGAAGGATGGGATTCAGGGGAGGGTCATCGATGCTAAAACGTGGCTTCCTAAGCAGCTGCCTCTGGGAAAGGGAGTTGGAGGCAAGCTTGGTACATTTGTCTTTGCAAGCACACAGGGCCAGGCTAACACAGCAGTGCCCCTTCCCTCACATATTCCTAGAGGCAGCTCACATTCAGACACACCCAGACCCAAGAGGGCACTGACTCCACGAGGACCACTGGTAATCACCCCCTAACTCCCCGGGGAAACTGCTTCCCGCAGAGCCACACTCTGAGGCAGGAGCTCCTGCCGGCCAGGGACGCTGCTGCTGCAGGGCTGCTGCAAGATCTCTCCGACTGCCGCTTCCCCAGGTGGGCCTGGTCCCAGGGAAGTGGAATGCGGAGGGTTCTCGGGCAGGTGTGACCCCGGTCCTGTCCCAGAGCTGGTCAGAGAGCACAGAGCACAGACGTGCACCCCTCCGGACCCAAGGTCCTCTTTCTCCTCCCAAGGCACAGCATCCTCTTGACCTTTGCTTATCTGCAGTTGATGTCACTGGGGGCCTCAGAAAGGGATGCTGGGGCACAGTTCAGCTCAGGAGTGCCACTGGCTGGCAGCCTGGAGCCAGGAGTCTGGCATTCCCGGCACCAGACGAAAAGCCCTGGAGATCTTTGACCCCTGCCGCTCCCAGAGCCTTGGCCCTCCCGCCCTCTCTCCCGCCTTTCTCCCTTGCTGGCCTCTTCTGTTTTCTGTCTCCTCACTTCCCTGGCACCCTTGCCCTGACTGGTGGTTTTTATCCCAGCTCCTTGCCCAGGCCAATTCCTCCATGCTGTCTTCAAGCCCTGCTTCCTGCACTCCTCCCGACCCTGACAAGGAGGGCCCCAGTAAGAAGGTGCAGTGGGCTTCTGGGAGGAGGAGAACATCATCCACAGACTCCAAGTCCCACCCCGACCCCTCCAAAGCGTCCAGGTCCCGGAAATCAAGCCGGCTGACAGTGAAGTACGACCGGGGGCAGCTCCAGAGCTGGCTGGAGATGGAGCAGTGGGTGGACGCCAAGGTTCAGGAGCTCTTCCAGGTGCGTAGCATGGGGGAGGGTGGGAGACAAGGTGGCCTCAGGCTCAGCGGGGGGAGGGGGAGTGGGGCCTGAGCCCGAGGGCTGCTCTGAAGCCTGAGGAGGAGCTGAAGGGTGGATGCAAGGTGCTCGCTCCCACGGAGAGAAAGCTTTCCCCAACAGGTAAAGCATGGGTTTGCAGTCCAGAAATCTGGCCCCTCGGGTCTGGGCTCTGCCTGTAACTCTTCCTAATCTGGGGCATGTCTTTTACCATTTCTGAGACTTGGTTTCCTAATCAATGAAACAGGGTCTATACATCCCTGACAATATCTCTTTTTAGGATCTTTTGATGCTCCAACGAAATAATAGAAGGGCTACTTTTATTTACTTTTCATCCTCAACACACATGTGTAGAACTGCATTGTCCAATGCTGTAGATATCAGCCATATAATGATTTAACTTTAAATTAAAGAAAATTACAAGTTTCTCAGTTATACTAGCCACGTTTCAACTGCCCAAGAGCCCCATGTGGCTAGTGGCCACCATATCGTCAGCTCGCATGTGGAGTGTTTTCATCACTGCAGAATGGATAGAGCCGGACTAGCGTGCCCAGCACCAGCACCAGTCGCTGACCTAGGCTCGGCCCTGGCTCTGCCTGACTACCCTCCACTGCACCCTGGGAAGAGGACAGGGCTTGGCATATATCTTAGATATCTCCAGTTGGGGTCCTAGAGGAATACAGTAACTGCAGCGTTAGCAAGGGTGACGTTTTGAGCACTAAGCATGTGCTAGGCACAGTGCCAGCGTTGGACACACGTTATTTCACGCAGCCTCCCTGTGACTCCCTTAGGTAGGCCCTGTTTTACCATGGTGGAGGAAATGGAGGCTTAGCGATGTTGAGTAACTAGCCCAAGGTCACACAACTAGGAAGCTGCAGGACCCGGCGCCGCACCGGGGGCTCTGGCAGCAGAGCCTGAGCACTTACTTGGGCATTTAGTAACTCTCCACACCTGAAGTGCTTCAGACAGGAGCCAGTGCTGTGGCTGCACCTCAGCTGAATTTAATTTAAATCTACTAGGGTGGGGCTCAGGCACTGGCCTTTATTTAAAATAAGCTCCACAGTTGATTCCAGAGTGTGGTTGGCACTGTCCCAAGCCAGAAACCAGCAATCCTCCTTATCCACATACGAGGAGAGAGAGGGGAAGGGAGGGAGAAAGAAAGGGAGAGAAACATCAATGTTCAGCTGCCTCTCATGTGGCCCCCACTGGGGACCGGGGCCGCATGCAACCCAGGTACGAGCCCTGACTGGGAATCGAACCTGCAACCCTTTAGTTCACAGCCTGCGCTCAGTCCACTGAGCTACACCAGTCAGGGCTCTTCTCTTTCTTGACTTAGCTCCTTTTTCCTTTTTTTCCATATAACAAAGTTATTTTTATTGATGATCGTGTAATAATCAGAAATAGTGGTTTTCCTGATTTGACTCTTTTTTCCCCCAACCACCACTCCCACCCTTTCTTTTTCCTTCTGGGGGCAGCAAGGACCTGCGGTTCTTCCAGGGGAGGGCTGTGTCAGTTGGGGTTGGGGAGAATCATCCCTGCAGCCCAGGCTGTCCCAGGAAGCTCACTGGGCCATGCATCTGCTTGGTCCAGGTATTGGCCATGACCCCTGCTGCATCCTGGGGTAGGTGGGACATGTCCTGAGGCTGAGAGCAGGAGCGGCAAACTTTCTTGGCCTGTGTCTGCTCTTGGCCTGTGACCTTGCAGGACACCTTCACTGCCCTTCACTACCGCCAGCACCCTCCCTCTCTTGATCAATTTCAACTTCAGATTGTTGTGCACTTGTGTGAAAAGTCTCATATTTCAGCACCACAGGACAAATCCAGGCATCAAAGAAACTACAGCCAAATCTTGTTTTGCAACATTAAGGGAAGGGGGAAAGTGGTGCAATAATGAGCTCGTAATATTAGAAAACAGGACAGGTGGGAGGATGGCTTCCAGGCAATGAGGGATATAAAACACCTGGCCTGCAGTTGCCATGGCAATTGTCCAAAGGTGCCAGGTAGCAGCAGTTCCTCTCCCAATCCCTGCTCTTTTCATCGGGAAGCAGCCAAGTGACTGGGGAAGTCCCAGTGGCTGATCACCCTGGGCAGAGACCGAGTAGCAGAGCCTCCAGGTTGACCACGCCCCAGCTCTTACTTTACAGAGCCTCTCACCAACCCCCCCCCCCCGGGCTCCCCCCACAGTCTACCTCAGATGACACCACTGGAAATGGTTTCAGGGATGCAACACTGCTTATGTAGGTTGTTTTAAGGAGATTCAACCTTCCTTTGTTGGAGGGCCCCACCTCTCATTAGGTGTGCAGCCTGCTTTGCAGTCCTCAGAGGAAACAAGTCTGGGTCCAACCCAAACCAACAGATTCGGGGGCCCTGCAGCTCCTGTGGGTCAGAGGGGGAGCTAGATCTTGCTACTAAGCAAGCACTTAAACATTCATAAGTTTCTCCTATTTTAAAAAGACTGTTGCTCAACAACCTGTCCCCTTCTAATTACCAGCCCATAACATGTCTCCTTTAGGAAAAGACTACTTAAAGGATTTGTCCACCCTCACAGTCCTTCTGTACCTTTCCCCTTCCTATCACCATCCAAAACACCCAAGTCTGGCTTCTGTCAGATTTTTGAAACATTTCTCTCCTGTGGCTTTCAGAACACCGTCTTTCCCTGCTGGCAGCTAACATTTTGATGCAGCCCTCAAGATCATAAAAAATGAGATCGTAAGAAACAATCTGTTAGCCTTCCAACTCTAAGAAACGGTTGTTAGTGAATATTTGAAACAAACATTGTTTGCTCATCCCTGAACCTTACGGCATTGCTGGTCCCGTAGTGGAGAGGTCATAGGGCTGAGGAGGGAGTGGAGGTGAGAAATGGGTCAAATCTGGCAGCGTCTGGCAGGGGACTGCCACGTGTCCTCCAGAGTCAAGGTGCACCGCGTTCGTTCGTCTCAGCAGTTGTTTGATATATCTGCCCGTTTTCTGAAAATCCAAAGAAAACAACTTGAGGAGAAGAATATTTGGATTATAAGGTGAGCCCATTTCTCAACTCCAGGCTGCAGTGGGAATCTGACTCTAGGTAATGCACATACCTTATATTCTTTTTTAAAAATATATTTTATTGATTATGCCATTATAGTTGTCCCATTCCCCCCTTTCATTCCCCTCCACCCTGCACACCCCTTCCCCACCATCCCCCCTTTAGTTTATGTCTATGTGTCACAAGTTCTTTAGATTCTATACTTCCCATACTATTCTTGCCCTCCTACCTGTCTATTTTCTACCTATTGTCTATGCTACTTATTTTCTGTACCTTCTCCCCCCATCTCCTCCTCCCACTCCCCTGTTGCTAACCCTCCTTGAGATCTTCATTTCTATGGTTCTGCTCCTGATCTAGATGTCCTCTTAGTTTGCTTTTGTTTTAGGTGTGGTTCTTAATAACTGTGAGTTTGATGTCCTTTCACTGTTCATCTTTTTATCTTCTTTTTCTTAGATAAGTCCCTTTAACATTTCATATAATAAGGGCTTGGTGATGATGAATGCCTTGAACTTGACCTTATCTGAGAAGCACTTTATCTGCCCTTCCATTCTAAATGAAAGCTTTGCTGGATAGAGCAATCTGGGGTGTAGGTCTTTGGATTTCATGACTTGGAATACTTCTTTACAGCCCCTTCTTGCCTGTAAAGTCTCTTTTGAGAAATCCACTGACAGTTTGTTGGGAACTCCTTTGTAGGTGACTATCCCCTTATCTCTTGCTGCTTCTAGGATTCTCTCCTTCATTTTAATCTTGGCTAATATAATGATGATGTGCCTTGGTGTGTTCCTGCTTGGGTCCAACTTCTTTGGGACTCTCTGAGCTTCTTGGATTTCCTGGAAGTCTATTTCCTTTGCCACATTGGGGAAGTTCTCCTTGATTATTTGTTCAAAGAAGTTTTCCACTCATGGCTGTTCCTCTTCCCCTTCTGGTACCCCTATAATTCAGATGTTGGAACCTTTAAAGATGTCCTGGAGGTTCCCAAGCCTCTCCTCATTTTTTCTGAATTCTTCTTTTTTCATTCTTTTCTGGTTGGATGTTTCTTTCTTCCGTCTGGTTTGCTCCATTGATTTGAGTCCCAGTTTCCTTCCCATCACTGTTGGTTCCCTGTATATTTTCCTGCATTTCACTTAGTTTAGTCTTCATTTTTTCATCTAATTTGCAACTAAATGCAACCAATTCTGTGAGCATCCTGAACACCAGTGCTTTGAACTGTGCACCTGATAGGTTGGCTATCTCTTTGTCGCTTACTTGTATTTTATCTGGAGTGTTGATGTGTTCTTTTGTTTGGGCCATTTTTTTTGTCTTGATGCACCTGTTACGTAGTGAGGGGCGGAGCCTTAGGTGTTCACCAGGGCAGGGCAACCCATGTCACTGGGTTGTGAGGCTGTATGTGGGGCAGGGTCCGAGAGGGAACAATGGCACTTGCTCTGCTCTCTGCCGATTTCAGTCACTTTCCCCACTTCCTCCAAGCAAATTGGGCCCTTCTGGTGCTGGTTCCTGGGTGTGTGAGCTTGTATACATTCTAGGACCCTGTGGGTCTCTCCAGCAAACTCTCCTGTGAGGCTGGGAGTCTCTCCCAGTGCCTCAACCCCCAGAGGTGTTTTCAATCAGTGGTTTGAGGCTTTATTTCCCTGTGCTGGGACCCTGGATTGCGCGGTCTGTCTTGCTCCCCAGTTTCACCTAGTTTATCTGCATGTGAATGTGGGACTGCCTGGTCAGCCAGCTGCCTTGCATGCCACACCCCTCCACAATCCACCACCTGGCTGGGTTCACCTGCTGCAGCGCCTATTGCGTCTGGGGTCTGCCAGCTGCTGCTTTGCTGAGAGCCCTCTCTGCCCAGCCACCCGACCCCGCCCCTTCTACTGGTCTGGATGAATGTGTCTACTTTAACTCCTTGGTTGTCGGACTTCCATACAGTTCCATTTTCTGTCAGTAATGGTTGTTGTTTTGTTTATAAATTTTTGTTGTCCTTATTTTGGTTGTGTGAGGAGGCACAGTATGTCTACCTACGCCTTCATCTTGGCCAGAAGCTCTCATCTTTAATTTTATAACATCTACAGTCTAAATTTTTTCAATGACTATAATAACTTTTAAAGATGGCTTTATTCCACATACCATACAATTCGCTCACTTAAAGTAGAAAATTATGTAGCTTTAAGTGTCTTCACATGATTGTACAACCATCACATTTTAATTTCGGGCGTTTTTATCACCTCTAAAAGAAACCCTGTACCATCGGCAGGCACCCCTCGGTCTCCGCCACCACCATCCGGCCCTGAGAAACCACTGATCCATTTCATGTCTCCACAGATTTACCTGTTCTAGACACTTCAGACGAGTTGAATCATAAATAAGTAGCCTTTTACAACTGATTTCTTTGACTAACAATGTTTTCAAGGTTCATTCACATTGTAGCACAAGTCAGTACTTTATTCCTTTTATTGATGAATAATGTTATATGGCTGCGTCATATTTTGTCTATTCATCAGTTGATGGGCACTTGCCTCGTTTCTGACTCTCTAGCTGGTGTGAATGATGCCATGGTCAATGCTCAAGTGCAGGTTTTTTTGTGGACACATGTTTTCGTTTCTCCTGCAAACAGACCTGGGAGCAGAGCTGCTGGGTTGGACAGCTGTATGTTTAACCGAATTGCCAAACTGTTTTCCAAAGCAGCTGCATCATTTTACATCCCTACCAACAATGTATATAACTTTCGAAATGAAATGCACTCTTTTTAAAGAACTCTGGTGCTGTGTCCAGTGGAACACAGTAGGTGTTCAGCTGCCGTTGTGGAAGAGTGTGTGCTTTGAGTGAGGAGAGGGACTGAACACGGGGAATGGAGTGGGCAATGGGTTCGCCCCCGACAGTGACCTCCATTCCAGCACTGGCCGGCCAGGCCTCTCTGAGCCTCATGTGATTCCCAAACAGGATCAACCAACCCCTTCTGAGCCTGATATTGACCTGGAGGTGCTCATGGAACTCTCCACAGAGGAGCAGAAAACTCAGTTGGAGGTAGATTGGGAGGCTGGGCTCCGGGCCCTGGGGTTGAGGTTGCAACCTGGGCTTGGACTGAGGGGAACCCAGGAACCCAGGTTCTGCCTCTCTGGGCAGAGGGGGAGAACCAAATCAGAGGGGAGAATTCCTGGAAGACTGAGTGGGGGCTTGTGGGAAAGTGCTGTGGCGCTGGGACCCACTGTCTGTTTTCTACCCAGGCTCTTCTCCGAGACTGTCCCCGCCCCACAGAGGTAAGGGTGCTTTTCTGTTCCGGGGGTAAGAGGATGCCCAGTGGGGAGGCAGTTAATGAAAGGGAAGCTGGGCCTTGCATCTTTCCCCCCTCCCAGGCTCTAGGGAGATAATGGGGTCAGCCAGGAATAAGAGAGGGCAGTGTGGCGGGTGGGCGTGAATCCACGCCTTAATCTTATCTGTTTCTCCCTCAGCCTTTTATCTCTGAGCTACTCAGTCAACTCAAGAAGCTCCGGAGACTCAGCCGGCCTCAGAAATAGGACCTGGGAGGCTGGGTCAGCAGCCTGGGCACTGTCAGGCCTGCTCTGAGTCTCTGCACCCTGGGCTGAGAGGGAAGTGGCGTCCCGGGACATGGACGAGGAACTCTGGAAAATGAAGAGGGGCCTTTGGACACCCCTGTTGTATACAGTGACAGCTAGTTCTCGTCATCTGGGTTTCCATGAGCCAGCCACACTGTTGCCCGGTGCTTCTTCCCTTGACAGCCAAGTGGATAAAACCTTTAGAAGCCCCAGCTGCACGGAGTGTGAAGCGTGTATCTGGGCTGAGGGAGGGAGGGGAGAGGGTTGAAGTGATACACCAGCATCCTGTATCACTACACTCTATCCACACACCCCATCCACCCAAACATGCAAACAGTCCTTGAGAATTTAAAGATGAAGGTCACAGTTCTACTTCAGGGAGACCACAATCCAGCAAGGCCCAGAGGCTAAGACACAAAGCATCCTGCCATCAACGTGAAGAGCTCAAGTGCCAAAGACTAGTGTTGAATCCCAGAGAGGTAATGGGAAAAAACTTGGGTCTGGGGCACCAGGGACGCTTAAACCCTCCAACCCCGAAATGATGCAGGTAGGCGGCCTGACGTTGGGAAGTCTTCCTGGAGCTGGCTCCAGCCAGAGGAGGAGAAAAGCAGAGGGATGTAAGGGGTACAGGGCAAAAGGCCAGGGGTCAGGTCAGGAGGGAGTTGCTGCAAACAGACACTGAGTCAGCATGGTGGCAGGCTGGGCCAGGAGCCCTGGGAGGTGGTGCCCTTTAGGAGCAGGGCAGGAAGCAGGGCACACAGCCACTGTTTGTGCGAGGGGTCCGCGTGTAGAGACGCCAACAGCCCTGAGTGGTGGGTGTGGCCTAAGGGCCAAGTTGGGCTGCCCAGAGGACACACAGTTCAGCTCAGATGAACGAATATTCATGCCTACTGCCCATGCCGCCTCCCAGAGCGGGGTACTGTTCCCAGCTGGAGAATCTTACCTAAGAGCTCAGTCCTTTCCCTCTCTCCACAGGACTGGACTTAGAGCCTACTCTGCCTTTACCACCGAGGGGCCCAGGGTCAGGGCCCACAGGGTTCTAGAGGTAAAAGATGCTGAGCCCAAGGAATGAACACGCTTTATTTGATACGCTAAGTGCTAGGGCCCTTGAGCAGGTTTCAAGGCTCATCCTCAGATTCAAGTTGGTTTCCAGTCCAGGCTCTGCTGGTAGAAGGCTCCCGCCATCTGCCTGCCTCTGGCTCCTCCATTCAGCATCTCTGATGGAAAGCCCCTCCTCTTCCCAGGGACACTGAGGCGCAGGACAGGTGCACCCCTGAGCAGTCTAGCCTGACATGCTCTCCCAGCAGACGCCCTGAGGCTGGGCCCAGAGGGGCTGTCGCAGCCTGTGTGACTGCCTTTGCCGGAGACCAGGGTTTCCTCAGTGCACTTGGCCTGCGTGTGGGGGGTGGTAAGCAGATGTCTGGTGCTCTTTAAGTTCAAAGGCATCATGGCCTTCCCTGTGGAACAAGGACGTACAGGTCAGGAATCACAGACAGGCCTTGAGCACTCCCAGTCCCACAGACCACTCTGCCTGCACCCACCGGAAGCAGCGGACACAGTAGAGGTCTCCATCGCAGCCAGCGCAGCGCAGGGTGGCATCTTCATTGCAGATACAGCACCAGGGGAGCTCCTCTTCCTCAGCTGCAGGCCTGGGGGCTGTAGCCTGTGCCTTTGGGGAGCAGAGGGGAATGGGGGAAGGTACCCCGTGGGGTAAGGGTGGGAGGGCCGCCCCCGGAACGGTCGGCCAGTCAAGAGGGAGGGTGTGGAGGCCACCCAGGGGTCTGTCTGGGGCTCTTCTCACCTCAGGCTCTGCCCTGCAGGCCTTGGCCTGGGCTTGGAGAGTTGGCTCTGCAGGGATGTTAAAGCCACTCGCCTCATCCAGGGCAGCTTCTTCAGTGAGCTGTAGACAGGGCAAAGAGGTACAGCTCCCTCCTCGTGGCCCAGGTCCTCCCTCAAACCCCCAAAGGTTCTGTGGCCTTAGCTTCTCAACCCATCATCCTTTATCTGGTGCTTGTGGCTGATGCCCCATCTCAAGAGGCCAGGGTACAATTCTGGGTCACAGGGACAGGGTGGCCCCAGCTAGAATGGCAGCCGTGGAGTGACTGGCCATTTAGTCCCAGAGTGGAGGCGGGTTGAACAGGGCCAGGTGGGTGGTGGGGCAACAAGGTAGGGACGGGACAGGGATGGTTGGGTAACTGAAGCAGGCCCACCTGTTGCAGGACTCTCTGGATGGCTTTCTCCTCATCCTCACTGTCATCACTATCTGGGAGATGATAGTCTTGGAGGGTCACTTGAAGAGGGACAGAGGTAAGAGAAGGGGGGGAAGAATGAGTGTGAGCATTCGCCTGAGTGGCTGTTCTCTTGCCACTCGGAGCTGGTTCAGTTTCCAGTGCACTTGTCCCAGAGCTGAGCAGTCTCTGTGGCCAGACTGACCAGACTCCGCCCCTCCCTGCTCCACCCTGCGGGGCTGGGGGTTGAGAACAAAAGGCTCTGCACCTGACGGGAATGAGGGTCCCCTGCCCGCTGATGGCTGCCACTTATTCCTCAACCACTGCCTTGTTCCAACTGTCCTCCTTGCTCTGGGCAGAGCTCAACAGACCCCTGGGCACAGGGGCCCCTAGTACCTCACTGAACTCGGTAGCCATTTTGCAGAGCTTGGCTTGGGGGTGGGGGTCGGGGGCTGCTCCCCCGTCTCTACCTCTGTCAGGGTCCCGTCCCTGAAGCACAGCCAGGCGTTTGGCAAGGGCCAGGATCCGCTCCTGCCTCGTGTTCTCCTCCTGCAGCTTGGCCGCTGCTTCAGCCAGCAGCCTGCTCTTCTCCCCGTCCAGGGAGCAGGTGGCCTGCCCCTTGGAATCAGTACTCTGGCCCTGGTTGAGGTCATTCTGGATGGAGGTACCTGGAAGGAGCAATGCAGTCAGGGAGGCAGGGACATTCCAAGATCTCTCATCAGGAGCCACTAAGCCCATTTCTCAACTTTTTAATATAAACCCACATATCATCAGCTTTTTGTTCATCACTGGCTCCTGTGGTTTATGTTACAAATGAGTATTTCCTCCAGTTTTCTCCCAGTGTAAAAAACAGGTGATCTTAGATGTTTTTTCAACCACATGCATCCCCACCCACCCATTATTTTAACATGCTGTCCTTGGCGGTGGCATCTCGTGGTATGAGAACTGTTGCCCAAAGGATGGGGATACGGGGAGGCCAAGGTTCAGCCAGCGCCCCTGCCCTTCAGGCTGGAACTATCACTTCCAGGGAGCAGCACAGAGCAGGCATGACGGAATCTGAGGTCTTTGTACTAGGTGAGAAGAATTTTGCCAGAGTGGGTGTGGCTTTGACATGTCCTCTTCAGCTCAGTCTTACGGCAAGAGTTTTGAAAGCAGACAGCTTTGGGTTCAAGTCCTAGCTTTGTTACTTAATAGCTGTGACCTTGATCAAGTCCTTAAGCTTACCAGGTCTCAGTTTCCTCATTTATACAATGCGGGTAATAACAGCATGTACCTCATAGGATTACTGAAGATGTTTGATGAGACTGTGTCACTAGGGCAGGGTTTCTCAGTGTTGGTTCTGTTGACATTCTGGGCTCTCCTGTGCACTGTATGATGTTTTACCAGCATCCCTAGCTTCTGCTCACCGGATGCCAGTCGTACTTTCTGAGTTGTGATAGTCAAAGGGTCTCTAGACACTGTCAAATGAACCCTGAAGGGGACTGAAAACCACTGCTCCGAAGCCTTTGAAAAGCACAGTCCTATAGAATTTTTTATGATGATGGAAATATTCCATATCATGGTTACATTTGTCCAAGATGGTAGCCAGCACTTGAAATATGGCCAGTACCACTGAGGGAACTGAATTTTAATTAAATTGATTTATTTTTAAAGATTTTATCCATTGTTAGCGAGGAGAAGGGAGGAAAAGAGAAAGAAACATCACTGTGTGGTTGCACCACCCACTGGGGACCCGGCTCACAACCCAGGCAGGCATGTGCCCCGACTGGGAATTGAACCAGCGACCCCCTGGTTTGCAGGCCAATGCTCAATCCACTGAGCCATACCAGGGCTGAATTTTAGTGGAATTTAAATAGCCTCTTCCTCCTCCTTATCATCATCATTCATAGAACATTCACTGAGCACTTACTGTGAGCCAGGCAGGGTCCTGTGAGCCAGGCAGGGTCCTAAGAGCTCATTGGATTATCTCATTTACTCCACGCAACTTCCCCACGAGGTTGGTTTTACCGCATGCACCTCCATTTTACAGATGAGGAAAGTGACACTTCCCAGGGTCACACAGCTAGTAAGTGGTAGGTCAGAGGATCCCTGACTGATTTTAAAGCCCACACGCTTACCCACGAGGCTTACATTGGCTCCCAATGAAGTAAACACTGAACAAATGGTAGCTCTTATAGTGTCGATTGTTCTGATTTCTGTTCACCTCCCAGAGGGTGGGCAGCAGAGCCCCTCCCACCTTCAGAGGGAGGGCCGGTCCCTGGGGGCCCAGGTGGAGAAGTTACCTTGGCCTCCTCGTTCCCAGCGCTCATCAATAGCCACCTCTGCTGTCAGCTGTGTCAACAGATCCTGTGCTTGCTGGGCCTGGGTCCTGGTGTCTGGTGTCTGATGCACCTGCTCAGAGGGGGGAGCCTCAGTGGGGATCAGGGTTTGGGGAAGCTATACCTTGAGACCTGGAGCAGTCCATGTCAGAGGTCAACGCTGAGGAGTTCCCAAAGCTCAGGGAAAGGGGGATTGATCCAGGGCCCACATAATCAAGTAGGTCTGCCATTCCCCAATAGGGCTGAGGGGCCACTCTTTCCTGCCCCATCCAAAACTGCCTGTCCCTAGTTCCTTGGCCTGGCAGCAGACCCGAGAATCCGGAGTTGGGGGTCAGAGGCTTGCCAACTCCTACAGAGTACATAGGCATGCAAGTACTAGGACCCCTTCCCTCTCAAGCCATAGCACTTACCGGCTGGGGGGTCCGAGCAGGTGGAACTCTGCCCTGAAGTGCAGCAAGCCGCGCCTCCATCTCCTGGGTAGAAGGGATGGAACCCTGGGGTTCATCCTTCAGCGCAGCCAGCCTGGCTTCTATCTCTGCCTGTGAGGGCACTGACTCTACAAGTGGCATGGGGAACCATGTAAGATCCAGAGGAATCCCAGTCCCAGGAGCCTTTAGGCCACACTGCCTGCCCCTACTCACTGGGCTTCTTTTCCTGGCGGAGCCGTGCTAGGCGCTCAGCAATGAGTTGGTCTTGCTTGGTCAGTCCCTGCCTCTGGGGAGTGCTGGGCTTCTGCTTGGCTTCTAAGGCTGCCACACGCCTGGCAGGACATGGGATAAATGCTCTTAGAGAAGGCAGAAGGGAGGGGTGAAGGCACCCACTCACTTTTTCCTATTCAGATCATTTCTAGGCATCTAGACAGGCCTCTGATGGACAATCTGCTGCGGCCCTCAGCATGTTGTCCTGCAGCTCAACCCAGCTGCCTAGATGGAGGGTCCAAGCGACAGGGCAATGTCTATCAAGAACTTTCTCTTGGGAGAGGGCTAATGAGCTGCTTTCTGATCTCAAGAAGGCAGGTAGGAGCCTGAGAAATAGATATTCTCCTGACCCCGTGTTCATCTGATCTAGAGGTTGGGATGAGAGTGCTGCCCTGGGGCTCATTTGTCTTTTCCCCATCACACTTGTCTCTGTTCCTTCAGTACTTACTTCTTATAGTTCTGAGGTGGTGACCACTTGGAGGCATTGGCAGGAGAAGATCCTCTGAGAAAAGAAATCTGGTTTCAGAAGTCCTGCCATCTGCCAGTCATTGCCACCAACCCCAAACACTCCCTGGGCTGACCTCTGGCTACAGAGCACAGACTGCAAGGCCTAGCCAGCTGCCTGCTGCCATACCTGGCTGAATCCTCGCCAAGTTGGCTTCTCACCTGGTCAGGACCTCATGGCATTGCTTGCAGACTTTCTGTTGGCTGTTCCCAGCCCGGGGCACCACTGCGCTGAAGCTAAGGCAGCCAGAACAGTAAGCCCGGCCGCAATTCTTACAGCCGTTCTATAAGAAACACAAAGCAGGGTTATCCACCTTTCAGCTGCCCTTGCAGGCTCCTCCCTAGGTCTCTCTGAGCACATACACACAGAACACACTGAAGTTGTGATCAGCTGCTGGAAGAGGATGAAGAGTGGGGCCCCTGAGGCCTGGGGAGAGCCAAGGATGGAGGGTAAAGTGATTCCTCAGTCTCCAGACTTTCATTCAAATCAAGTAAAGCTTCATGCAAAATTTCCATGTTTTCTTTCTACCCTGTCTTCAATTCCCTGACACTGAATGTAGAAGACAAATAGGCAAAGCTCCCTGGTTACTGACTCTTCAACAAAGGAGAATCAGAGCAAGTGCAGAGCTCACGCCTCCCCTGCTCTAGCAGACGTGGAAGGAAGCTTGGCTCAGGATGGAGCGATAATGACAGCCTCCATTTATTAAGTACTTACTGTGTGTCAGGCACTAAGCTCAGTATTTAACACTCATCAACTGATTTAATCCTCACAATTTCTATACACTATTTTACACAATCCTGATGCCCTATTTTAGGTGGGGTCAGAAAAGTTACGTTACTTGCCCAAACACAGGTCACCTGGTGAATGAGATGGATCCTCTTCCCTCCTTTCCTCTATCTCTAAAGTCAATACTACTAATAAAAAGACAACAGAGCTCAAATCTGAACCCTGGCCACCCTGATTCCCAAATCCAGGTTTCTAGGTACTATATGGATCTACTCCTTATTCATCTTGTTTGGTTCCTATCTCTTGGTGACAGCTGAGGCAGAGGAAGCCTGCAGTTTACCAGGGAAACCTGGATGGTCTGTGCTGAAGACAAGAGAGACTTTACTATGGTGCCCTGAAGGCAGGAAAAAGGCCGGTAATCTAATTCAAGAAGCCTGGGAAGGGCAGGCTTCCTGATGATGATTTCAGAGCGGAGAGAGTAACAGGGCTTGATGTCCCAGAGAGTGTGATCACAGGGCTGCGGAGAAGCAGGGTTGAGGAGAGGAAAACAGCCGGTTCCTATACTTGGCACACAAAAAAATCTAGCTTTCCAAAAACGACAGGAGCGTGCTTTACAATTTTTAGAGAACTTTTACTTCCATCACATCTTTGGACCCACAATACCCGCAAACGAGGGAGTGTTAGTCCCATTTTATAGAAATGGAAACTAAGGCTCAGGGACTTAATCAAAACCATACTGCTGGAAATGGGCGGTAAAACCAGTCTACGGGAGGCAAGTCCCGTGTTTTCCCTTCCACTCTGCGTCCTCCCTGGCCCTCCAGCCCATGGGGTGAGAAGACTTGCCTCCTTCTTGAAAAAGGTGAACTTAACAGCACAGCCGTAGCACCTACTCTCCATCCTGGTTTCCCGACGTGGCGCGGCTTGGTCTGCAGAATTGCGATCACGCCCTCAAGGTCCAGGACCCCTCGGACCTTCACCCAGCTCCGCCCCTTTCCCCCACGCCCACTCCCGCAGTCCAGCTACCGTCTACCGCAGAGGACTCGCGACCCCCCACCCTAGTCGACGGCCACAGCGGCGGGAGCTTGGGGCTGCTGGGAGTCGTAGTTCATTCACTGCGGCTCGCTTCCCTCAGAGGCAGTCGAGCTCGACCTGGAACACATTTCCCAGGGGGCTAAGCGCCACTCAGCCTGCGCAGCACAAACAGTCCCCCCCCCCCCCCGCCCCGCACGCTTAGACTTGGGAGTTGTAGTACTAATCCAGTCTGAGTTGGAATCATGGCGGTGACCAAGGAACTCTTACAGATGGACCTGTACGCGCTGCTAGGTATAGAGGAGAAGGCGGCGGACAAAGAGGTGAGAACGGTGGCTAGGAGGGCCAGTCTCAAGAGGTCTGGCAGTCCTTTCTGTCTTGGCACCTAATGCGCAGCTGGCACTCGCTTTCCAGGTTTGGCCGGGCCCTGGGCCGGTAGAGAGGGGCTGCTTGACGGCCTCAGAAGGTGGGCTGCTAGACCATTCCAGGGTGCTCTGGGAGCCTCACGAGGAAGAGGGGATCTCAGAAGGGAGGCTTCTCGTGCGGGGTAGTTACTGTCCCTCTGGCCCTTGTCTAGCAGAGGCTGCAGGGTGAGCCGGGGAGGGAACCCTAGTCTCCTCCCTGGGCCTGCGCAGGGTTAGTTCGCCTCTAATTCCGTTTGTCTTGACTGTAGATATTTAAGTCTCTTCTGAAAGTTGATTTAACTTCTCTTGGACCCTAGGTCTCAAGGCCCCTCCACTCCTTTTCACCTCCTCCTTGACGTTGACACCTGTGACTCTGCCGTCTCTGTTTTCTTTTCCACCCCAGCCCATTGACACTTTTTAAGTAACAGATGCTCGGGTGTTGTCCTCTCAGCATTTGCTAGTGGGCCAAAGGAAGGAGGATCAGGAGGGGAAGGCAAATGGCCTGAAGTTCCACGGGAAGTTGTTGATAAAGGTGCCAGGGAGTGGGACACTGGTCAAACTGTAATTAGGATTTCTGTTAATGCCCTGGCTGGCGTACCTCAGTGGATTGAGTGCCGGCTATGAACCTAAGGGTCACCAGTTCGATTCCCAGTCAGGGCACATGTCTGGGTTGCAGACCATGTCCCCAACCCAGTGGGGCGCGGGAGAGGTAACTGAGGCAACTGCATATTGATATTTCTCTCCTTCTCTTCTCCTCTCTCTAAAAATGAATACATAAAATCTCTTAAAGATCAATAAGATTTCTGTTATCTAACCCTGGAACAAAGGAAGGGGAAGTAACATCATACTGCTTTCCACAGTGGCTGCACCAATCTGCATTCCCACATTCCCACCAACAGTGCAGGAGGGTTCCCCTTTCTCCACATTCTCACCGGTACTTGTTGTTTGTAAATTTATTGATAACAGCCATTCTGACTGGTGTGGGGTGACATCTCATTGTGGTTTTCTTTTCTTTTTTTGGTTTCTCTTTCTCCACATCCTCACCAGTACTTGTTTGTTGATTTATTGTTGATAGCCATTCTGACTGGTGTGAGGTGGTATCTTATTGTGGTTTTCTTTTTTTTTATCCTCACCTGAGGACATTTTTTCAGTTGCTTTTAGAGAGAGAGGAGGCTCCAACCACCTGTGCCACACTGGCCAGGGCTGTCGTTGTGCTTTTTAAATTGTATTTCTTGATGATTACTGAGGTTGAGCATCTTTTCATATCTGTTGGCCATCAGTATGTCTTCTCTGGAGAGATGTCTAATCAGGTCCTTTGCTGACTTTTTAATCGGATTTTATTTTAGTGTTGAATTCTATTTATTTATCTTTAAATTATCTTTATGTTTTTGGATATTAACTCCTTATCAGATGTATCATTGGTGAATAAATTCTCCCAATCAGTGATTTTTAAAATTTTGTTGATGGTTTCCTTTGTTGTGCAAAAACTTTAGTTTAATATAGTACCATTTGTTTATTTTTTATTTTATTTCCCTTGCTCTAAAAGATATATTAGAAAAAATATTGCTACAAAAAATGTGCAAGATTTTACTGCCTATGTTTTTTTCTATCTAGGATTTTTATGATTTTCAGTCTAATATTTAAGTCTCTTATCTATTTTGAGTGTATTCTTCTGTATGGTGTAAGAAGGTGTCTAGCTTTATTTTTTTTGCACATATCTGTCCAATTTTTCCAACACCATTTATCAAATAGACTATCTTTACTTCATTGTATGTTCTGGCTTCCTTTGTCCAATACTGTATTGATTGACCATAAAGGCATAGGTTTATTTCTGTGTTATCTATTCTGTTCCATTGACCTCTATGTCTGTTTTTATGCCTGTACCATGTTGTTTTGGTTACTGTGGCCTTGTAGTATAGTTTGATATCAGGTAGCATGATTCCTTCAGTTTTGTTCTTCTTTCTCAAGATTGCTGTGGCTCTTCTGAGTCTTTGGTAGTTCCATGTAAATTTTTGGAATATTTGTTTTAGTTCTGTGAAATACACCATTGGTATCTTGATAGGAATTGCATTGAATCTATAGATTGCTTTGGATAGTATGGACATTTTAATTATGTTAATTTTCCAGTGCATGAAAATGATAATGTGCTTCCACTTATTTTTATCTTCTTCAATTTTTTCTTCAGTGTCCTATAATTTTCTAAGTACAGGTGTTTTACATCCCTCATTAAATTTATTCCTAGGTACCAAATTTTTCAGACTATAAGACACACTGGACCATAAGACGCACCTAGGTTTTAGAGGAGGAAAGTACAAAAAAATGTTTTGGAGCAAAAAATACTGTAAAATATTTAATAATATAAATAACAGGCCACCTCCCCTCCCCCCCCAGTGAGCCAGGTAAGCTACATTCGGACTATAAGATGCACCATTTTTCCTCCTAAATTTGGGGGGCGGGTGCGTCTTATAGTCCTAAAATATGGTATTTTATTTACTTTTTGATGCAATTGTAAATGGGATTGTATTCTTAGTTTCCCATTCTGATAGTTCATTATTGGTATATAAAAATGCAACTGACTTCTAGATATTTATTTTATATCTTGCTAATTTACTGAATTCATTTGTCAGTTCTAGTAGTGTTTTGATGGAATCTTTCGGTTCTTTATATACAGTATCATGTCATCTGCAGATAATGACAGTTTTACTTCTTCCTTTCCAATTTGGATGCCTTTTATTTTTTGTTTTTATCTGATGGCTGTGGCTGGGACTTTTTATACTGTGTTGAATAAGAGAGGTGAAAGCAGACATCCCTGTCTTGTTCCCAGCCTTAAGGGAAACTCTTGTAGTTTTTGCCCATTGAGTATGATGTTGGTTATGGGTTTGTCATAATGGCCTTTGTTGCACTGAGGTCTGTTTCTGATATTCCCACTTTGCTAAGAGTTTTTATCATAAATAGGTGATGGATTTTGTCAAATGCTTTTTCTGCATCTATTTATAGATTTTGTGGGTTTTTCCCTTCATTTTGTTTATGTGGTGTATCATGATTATTGGTTTGCGACTATTGTACCAGCCTTGCATCTCTGGAATAAATCCCACCTGATCATGTTGTATGATTTTTTTTATAAGATTTTATTTATTTATCTTTAGAGGGGAAGGGAAGGAGAGAGGGAGAGAAACATCAATGTATGGTTGCCTTTCATGCGTCCCCTGCTGGGAACTGGCCTGCAACCCAGGCATGTGCCCTGACTGGGAATCGAATCGCAATTGTCTGGTTCGCAGGCCCGTGCTCAATCCACTGAGCTATACCAGCCAGGGCTGTATGATCTTTTTAATGTATTCCCGGATCTAGTTTGGTAACATTTTGTTGAGGATTTCAGCATCTGTGTTCATCAGCAATGTTGGCCCATAATTTTCTTTCTGGTTTTAGAGTTAGGATAATGCTGGCCTTGTAAAATAAACTTTGGAGTTTTCCCTCCTCTTGATTTTTTTGGGAATAGTTTCAGATGGAAAGATGTTAGTTTTTGAATGTTTGGTGAAATTCACCTGTGAAGCCATCCAGTTCAGAACTTTTATTTATTGGGAATTTTTTATTACTGCTTTAAATTCTCTACTGTAATCTGTCTATTCAGATTTTCTGATTCAGTTTTAAAAGGTTTTATGTTTCTAAGGAATTTATCCATTTCATCCAGAAGGCCCATATATATTTTTTATTTTATTATTTTTTAGAGAGGGGAAGGGAAGGAGAAAGAGTGGGAGAGAAACATCAATGTGTGGTTGCCTCTCATGTGTCCCCCACCTGCAACCCAGGCATGTGCTCTGACAGGAAATCGAACTGCGATCTTTTGGTTTGCAGGCCCGTGCTCAATCCACTGAGCTACACCAGCCAGGGCTTAACCTTTGCCAATTTAATTATGATGTGTCTTGGTGTGGGCCTCCTTGGGTTCATCTTGTTTGGGACTCTCTGTCCTTCCTGGACTTGTATGTCTTTTTCCTTCACCAGGTTAGGGAAGTTTTTGGTCATTATTTCTTCAAATAGGTTCTTAATCCCTTTCTCTCTCCTTGATGCGGATGTTGTTATGCTTCATGTTGTAGCAAAGGTTACTTATCCTCATTTTCAAAATTCTTTTTCTTTTTGCTGCTCATGGGTGTTTTCTGCTATGTTATCTTCCAAGTTGTTGATTTGATCCTCTGCTTCATCCAAGCTATTGTTTATTCCTTCCAGTGTATTCTTCATTTCAGAGATTGTATTCTTCATTGCTCACTGTTCTTTTTTATGGTTTCCATGTCCTTTTTTTCTGCTGCTGTAGTTCTCTTTAAGTTTCTTGTAGTTCTTACTAAGTTCCTTGAGCATCCTTATAATCTTTTTTTTTTTAACTATACAAGGTCTGTCTGGAAAAAGTCCAACCATTGTTAATATAATGAGAACAGTTTGTGTGACATTGATGTAACCTGGCAGCCAAGGAGAGTTGACTGGAATGAGCATGCAAGAACAACGATGATTTCACTGTACTACTCAGTGGGTCTGGTAGATGCCATTGAGTGAGCATGTGTACTGTGTGGCTGTTGCATTCAAAATAACTGAGCGAGTAGAACAATGAATCAGCATTAACTTTTGTGTTGAGCTTGAACACTTGTAGAAGTGTTCTCTGCAGCTATAGGCAACTGGTGATTGGTAGCTTCTCACAACAATGCATCCACTTATGCATCATGTCTTTTTTTTTTTTTTTTTTTATCTTTAGAGGGGAAGGGAAGGAGAGAGGGAGAGAAACATCAATGTATGGTTGCCTGTCATGAGTCCCCTGCTGGGAACTGGCCTGCAGGGAACCGGCCTGCAACCGGGTATGTGCCCTGACTGGGAATCGAACCGCGATTGTCTGGTTCGCAGGCCCTGCATCATGTCTTGTGCAGAGTTTTTTGGCG